GGATTAAGCACCCTAACGCTATCTGGGGCGAGTTAGGTTAAGTTAGATTAGGTTTGGTTCAATTTGATTAGGTTCCATTTTGATTCAGTTTGGTTAGGTTACTGGGGTGTCTAATCTTCACGTGATCCCTGTGTGCCAAAACATCCACCAATCAAGTTAAGAAAGGTGGATCTTGAGGGGTTAAGTCATCGTACTCAAGAGGTTATGCCATCGTACTCAGGGGTTAATGCTCTCCACCCATGACCAACCCACGAACACTCTACAGGACCCACACAGCTAGGAACAACAGGTGGGCGTCTCTCGGAGCACTACACAATCACTCCTACCAGCACTACCACAATCACTCCTACCAGCACTACCACAATCACTCCTACCAACACTACCACAATCACTCCTACCCACACTACACAATCACTCCTACCCACACTACACAATCACTTCTACCAACACTACCACAATCACTCCTACCAACACTACCACCTACCTAACAAGCACCACCCCTACCCTAAACACCATACAATAAACTGGAAAAAACTACCATTAGATTCTCCTATGAACAACCACTACAACTGTTCCTCTCTGCAACACACTTATCAAGAGGTCCACTGCGCCACACTGCTTGATGCAACATACTTATCGAGTGTAAACAATTGAAGCGAAATGATAACGCTTAGGTGATGTCTGTTATACCTGGTCGCATAGGAATGTAAACAGACCTCTTTGTGCACGTGATGTCAATAAACAATGAGTGCACGAGGTCCAGCTACATGTAAACAAGACTCACGTGGTCTAGTCAACATGTAAACAAAGTCATCGGGGTCCTGCCAAAATGTAAACAAGACTCACGTGGTCCAACCAAAATGTAAACAAGGTCAAACAGTCCACACGATCCACCCAGAAGGTAAAAGCAAACTGCGAAAACAAGTAATCCAACTAGAAGAATTGTAAACAAACTTCCAACCCACGTGAGTCCGCCGCCGCCGCCGCTTCCTTGCACGTAAACAAACATCTAGTCCACGTGGTGTGTTGGAATGTAAACAGATGGTGAGGTCGTGAGTCAGGACATGAACCCGTTGATCTTGGCTTCGCTATCAGGTGAAGATCATCACTACATGCATCTTGAAATAATAGAATCACTTGAACATTAGGCATCCTAGCTTATTTTACCTGAGGATTAAGCACCCTAACGCTATCTGGGGCGAGTTAGGTTAAGTTAGATTAGGTTTGGTTCAATTTGATTAGGTTCCATTTTGATTCAGTTTGGTTAGGTTAAGTTAGATTAGGTTAGGTTAATGTTTGGGTGAAATAAGCTGGGGTGTCTAATCTTCACGTGATCCCTGTGTGCCAAAACATCCACCAATCAAGTTAAGAAAGGTGGATCTTGAGGGGTTAAGTCATCGTACTCAAGAGGTTATGCCATCGTACTCAGGGGTTAATGCTCTCCACCCATGACCAACCCACGAACACTCTACAGGACCCACACAGCTAGGAACAACAGGTGGGCGTCTCTCGGATATCCCTCCCCAAGGTCAAGAGAGTGAAACACGACCCTTCCTGTGTTCTCCTCCTGCCGGGGTAGATGGTGGCAGGTGCAGCCCTCGTGGTGGTCTTCCCTCTGTCTATACCTATGTATGGATTACCTGACACACACACACACACACACACACACACACACACACACGGACCCCTTACAGTACTTGACTCCAACATAAACCACCCCCCTGGACAATAAACCTGAGGAAGGTGATATCAGAAGGACCAGAGCCACCCCCCGGAGGAGATAAGTGTGTCTGGCGGTGCCCCGTTTTTGTGTGTGTTATCTGACGAGGTCCTCCACCAGGTAACGACCCACCATATATAGCAGGCGAAGCTGGGAGAACTACCACACTAAACTACACCTCAACGATGCACCTTCAGCCACTCCTCCAGGTTGCAGGTACGCCTTCTTTCCTCCCCTCTCAATACTCATATTAACTCGTCCTCTTTGTGGTGTTGTAGCTATGAGTTACACCTTGACTTTACTTAAGGTCGTAATTACTTCCTTTCTTCTTATGTCTCGTCAGGTAAGACACACCTGTGGGGTTTCATGACAATTAGAAATCCCAGCTTAGTTCACCTGGTAATTAAAATATCCTTACGCTAACCTAACCTAACCAAACCTATCCTAACCTAACCTAACGAAATTATACTCATAAGGTGTGTTATCATCCACCTCCTGAAATTCCTACTGAATTTTAAATTCCTTTAAAATTCAGTCGTTCCTTCAAGCAAGTGGTGTGTATGTGTGTGTGTGTGTGTGTGTGTGTGTGTGTGTGTGTGTGTGTGTGTGTCCCTTCCACCCCTCTTAGGAGACGAGTCATTCCTCTTAGGTCTTATTAGACACTCCAGGTCGTTTAGATACGCAAGACCTTGTTGTTGTTGTTGTGATGCGCGAGGAAGTAAAAAAAAGTCTTAACACTCTCAGGTCTTTATTTGACGCCCAGAGACATTTAGATACCCAAGACCTCCTCGTTTAACCGCACGAAAAAAAAATATCTGGTTTTATTTGAAGCTTAGTGTCTTATATTCAAGATTTCATCCAACTTTCCGAAACAAGAAAACAAAAATCGTCCTTTCAGTTATATAAATCCAAATAAAATTCCTACTGCTGGGGAGGTGGCAGCCATGACCTGTTTATATATCACCTGTAGGAGGGGAGGCAGTACAGGGGGTCGTCGTTTCCAGGGTTCAATGACGCCCCCACCAGAATCGTTTACACTCCGGCTCTTTAGTTCTGGATGGCGCAGGATTGAGTCAGCGTGTGATGAATGTTTATGCATCTGAGAGAGAGAGATTGTGTTTATATTCCTGCCAAGTGTTGTATCTGGCAGGTACTCAACAGGGGGTCTTCCTGTCTCGCTGGCTCGCCCTGAGTATCAAGTGACCTCGCTAAACGTCCGAGAGCTGTTTTCCCCCAACCAAAACCCCACATCTAGGGAATTTTCTTAGTCTAAAATACCATATTCAGGGAATTTTATTTATATTATGAGATTGTCTTAAGATTAACAAACCCTTAACGTTAATTTAATCTACCCTAAACTAACCTACCTTAACCTAAACTATCCAATCCTAACTTTAACTTCAACACCCCTAGGATAGATAATGTTCAGGTGATCCGTGTGTGCTGTGTGGGGGTCAGGTCACAGGTTGAGGGCATGAGGGTAAGCACAAAGGTCAACAGTATGGCAGATGTTGCAGTGTTATCTTAAGTCTCCATATTGCAACACAAGACCCTGCAAGATTCTCATATACACTTCGGTTAAAATGTTCTCCCTCACTAGAAGCGATGTACTGTGTATCTCCTCGACGGTACACCTCCCCTCCGGTACACCTCCCCTCGGTACACCCCCTCCCCGGTACACATCCTCCCTCGGTACACCCCTCCCCTCCGGTACACCCTCCCTCGGTCGATACCCCTCCCTCCACACACCTCCTCCGTACACCCTCGCACCCTCCCCGTTTCACACCTTCCCCTCCGATACACCCTCCCCGTCGGTACACCTCCCCTCCCCCCTCCGTCGGTACATCCTCCCCTCCGCTCCCAATCCTATACCCGTCCCTCCAGGAACCAACCACCTCGCCACACCAAACAAACACAATACGGGAAGCGCCGCTGATAACCTTATCTCGCAACAAGCGTTTAATGTCACTAATTTGGGAGGGCGTCTGACTGTGATTACCACACCTCCTCCCCCAGCAGGTGTATGAAGCCCTCTGAAACCCGATACCGCACTTGCTCCTCGCGGTAAAGTAAACACGAAAACAAGTCTGATTCGGTGTTTGCATTGTCTACGTGGCTATTGAGATAACAAGTGCCGAGTGTTTTTTTTACAGTGTTGGTGATGTATTCCCCCACACACCTTTTACCTGCTGTTATCGAGGTGTTAATATGCTAATGTAGTGTCAATGTGTTAAGTCAGGTGTTCCTACTGATAATTATATCCAGGTAGGAAAACAGTAAATACAGATTGTTCAAATACACTTGGGGAATTGGCTTAAAACACACACACACACACACACACACACACACACACACACACACACACACACACACACACACACACACACACACACACACACACACACTTGCACTACACACACACACACACACACACACACACACACACACACACACACACACACACACACACACACACACACACACTTGCACACACACACACACACACACACACTTGCACACACTACACACACACACACACACACACACACACACACACACACACACACACACACACACACACACACACACACACACACACACACACACACTTGCACTTACACACACACACACACACACACACACACACACACACACACACACACACACACACACACACACACACACACACACACACTTGCACTTACACACACACACACACACTTACACACACACACACACACACACACACACACACACACGGACAGTTTACACAAGTGCACACCAAGAGGACGTGAATCTTGGTCTGGTTCTCACGCTACTCAACACTGGAGCTAAATAATAATAATAATAATAATAATAATAATAATAATAATAATAATAATAATAATAATAATAATAACAACAGACCTACAACAACAAACTCTAACAATAAAACTAATAAGAACAATAATAATTAAGTCACTCACAGAACACACAAAAGTAAAGACGGAACATTACGACACACGCAAGAGCTCTAATTTACGACTAAGTTAACAACAGAGAAGATAATAAAGACGGGAGAGAGACAGATAATGTGACAGTAAAGAGGAAACAGTCAGATAAAATAAAGGAATAAAAGCTTCAGGATAAAACCTTACTAAAATAATAATAATAATAATAATAATAATAATAATAATAATAATAACAGGGTGCACGATTCACTAGTCTTCATGATATTTTCAGTACCCTACGTGACGTAAGAAAAGAGAGAGAGAGAGAGAGAGAGAGAGAGAGAGAGTACCTGGGCGTGAGGTGAGGGGGTGGCCAGGTAGGCAGGTGAGCCGCCAGCGCTAGAGGGACGCCGTTCCTCGGTTGGCGACGTGGAGTCCTCCTTGTTACGTACCTGGAGGAGGAGAGGCAGTAATTAGTACACCTGTAGAGTCGTATCACACACACACACACACACTCCAAGTTTTCTTCTGTACTAACACTATACTTATGAACGTGAAGAATGACGAGCGTGAAGACTAATAAAAGTGAAGACTAATTAGAGATACTAAATAATAAAAAAAATGGTAAAAATGCATTACTATTTCCTCGGGGCAGCTAACAACTCCAGGAACAGCAGCAGCGGCGGCGGAAGGAAAATCATGCAGGCGTTTGTATATGACGTAATCTACGATAATACAAACAAATACAGCTGGAGGCAAACAAATACAGCTGGAGCCAAACAAATACAGCTGGAGCCAAACAAATACAGCTGGAGCTTTATTTGCACGCAACAACTACCAGGGTTACCATTCTCTACCTCCCTGATGGTGAGATATAGGAAGAATAAATCATTTCTCGACGCAACATAACTACAGGTACCATGTTATAATATATGGGACTTGAGAGAGGAGAACGGGCGTATACAACCAGTCATTGGAACTCAGAACACAAACCTTTAGGCCCCGTCTCTCACCCCCCCCAGGAGTGGTGACCATAAAAGGCGTGGAAACGTGACGAAGATCCATCATAAGTTGACAACGAGTGATTCCCGCCCCTACACTGCCTCCCCGTGTAGTGCCCCCAAGGTAGCCCAAGAATTCGTGTACAGATTATAGCCGATACTAATGACTCTTAATTATCTACCATTACCGCGATCCTTATCTACCACACACACACACACACACACGTCCCCTATGAACCCAGTATAAGCTATAGCCCTCTTATAAAACAGGTAATTTCACCAAGATCCATCATAGCTACAGGTGGGTGGTGGCGTCAGTGACCTGTTGAGTATATACCACTGAGACAACGAGGAGAAGGAAGAAGAGCAACAGGAGAAGGAAGAGGAGGAGCAAAAGGAGGAGGATATACAGAAGGAAGAAAAGGATGGATAGGAAAGGAAAGACGATTAGTAGTAGTAGTAGGAGGAGGAGGAGGAGGAAGACGGTACAAAGACCTCTATTGGCCATTGTTTCATTACGAGGTCCGCCGTCACGACTCAGCTGCACCCTCCTCCACCACCACCATCACTACCACCACCACCACCAATTACGGGAAGAATTACATTTAAAAATTACCATAACACACAAGGGAATCATTACACTAAATCACCATTACATCGAAGGAAATTATTACATTAAAAACTGGTATTAGTTCACGTTAAAGGAGACATTACGCGACAGTTGACTAATGAACGTGAAGACTGATGGACGTGAAGACTGATAAGCGTGAAGACCGATGAACGTGAAGACCAATGAACGGAAAGACTGATGAACGGAAAGACTGGTGAACGTGAAGACTGATAAGCGTGAAGACCGATGAACGTGAAGACCAATGAACGGAAAGACTGATGAACGGAAAGACTGGTGAACGTGAAGACCGATGAACGTGAAGACCGATGAACGTGAAGACCGATGAACGGAAAAACTGATGAACGTGATGACTGATGAACGTGAAGACAGTGGTAGAGACGGGAGAAGGTGATGATTCATGACTGACCGAGGAGCATATCTCAGGTAATCGCTCATTAACGCTCCTGATAGCTAGTGGAGTGATTAAGTGGTAGTGGCCGCCACCCTCTTAACACAGGAGTCAGCGAGGTGTGACCTGGAGGTGATGAAGGCTCAGCCACCCCCCCCCCCACGTCCTTAGTTTTACCTGGAGAAGCCACTACCCAGAGGAGCCTCTATCTGAAGGAGCCACTACTCAGCGGAGCTTCTATCTGAAGGAGCCACTACGTGAAGGAGTCTTTACCTGCGCCGCCCCCATTACCCGTTTATGAAGGATTATTAAGGCCAGGATGGATGGGTCTGGGTTGACTCAAGCACAGCGGGCGGTGAGGCAGGTGGTGGGTGGAGCAACACTCGGTGTGTGTGTGTGTGTGGGGGGGGGTTGGTGTTAGAGGATGGTAATGTATGGGAGGTGTAGGTAGTTGTGGTGGGCGGCATTGTAACTTGTAAGGGTGAGGGAGCGAGTACTGTAGGGGTGAGGGAGGTGATGGTGGTGGGTGGCACTGTGGGGAGGGGTGAAGGAGGGGGAGACCACCAAGAGAGAGAAGGATGACAGGAGCTTCACGTCACCACGATGCCCACATAATCCTCCCGAGGTATTGTTTACTAGTGAGTCACGGGTCCTGCGGTCACCTCTCTAATCTGGCTGTCCTCAAGTCGCCCTTGGAGTAGTACCCACACTTGCCCCCCCCCACCCCTTATATCGTGCGCTAGTCAGGCCGCACCTCGATTATGCTGTTCAGTTCTGGTGCCCTTATTACAGAATGGATATCAATTCACTAGAGTCGGTGCAGCGAAAAATGACGAAAATAATTCCGGGACTTAGAAACCTTCCATATCAAGATAGGTTAAAGAAACTAAACTTGCATTCCCTAGAAAGACGAAGAGTGCGGGGAGATATGATAGAAGTATTTAAGTGGGCGAAAGGAATCAATAAAGGCGATATAGATAAAGTTCTTATAATATCCGAGCAGGATAGGACTCGGAGCAACGGATTCAAGTTGGATAAGTTTAGGTTTAGGAGGGAGATAGGAAAAAAATGGTTCACAAATAGGGTGGTGGACGAGTGGAACAAGCTTAGCAACTTTGTAGTAAGTGCTGGAACGCTGGAAAGTTTCAAAAGGAGGCTAGATAGATTCATGGATGATAGAGAGTGGTAGTAACTCTCGACAAGAGCTGCCATGCACAGGCCAACCGGCCTATTGCAGACTCCTTATTTTCTTATGTTTTGTCCCCCCGAAGAATCACCCCCTGAGAGCTACTTCATATCACTATACCAGCGTGAATCATTATACACCTCAAACAATAGGTCAAGCCCCTTATAGATCCTCGAGTCACCCTTGAGCAATCCGTTGTATCGAAATGTTGAAGCACGGAGAGAGAGAGAGAGACATGATGCGGGGGTGAACTTTACGACCAGCGCCCCACCACGACACACACATAATAAATAAACAAATCCGAGAAAACCCCCGTAATTATGATAATTCACCTCACACCCCCATCCTGTTGGTAGCGACACAGTGACGTACATTTAGCGTCACATCCATGAAAACGGTGACAAAAAACAGTGAGGAGAGACGCGGGTAATGTTAATTTATGCGGGCGCGTCAGCCAAGACCTCCGGCGGCGGGGAGGGGGGCACCACACAAGCTAGACGCCCTCCTCCCGCCATGACCTGAGAGTCTTCACGCTTTAACCAGATAATACTCAGGGAATAATAACATCCAAAGAAGTTAGTAGACTGGTGGTGGCAAGGTGTGACAGTGAGGATAATGGCGGAGAAGACGTTGAGGTAAATGATGTGAGATTTGTAGGAGAGAGAGAGAGAGAGAGAGAGAGAGAGAGAGAGAGAGAGAGAGAGAGAGAGGAGGGGCAGTACTTCCTGTGACAAGACCGGATGACTAACACTTCATCACTTTACTAACCTAACCTAACCTAACCTAACCTACCCTGACCTAACCTAACCTCTTCAGCCACACAATCACGAGGAAAACAAGAAATACATCTTAATGAGTCATGGTGTGTACGTGTATGTAAATAACCTTCCTCTAAATAATGACTAAACGCACACATCCCACAGTGCACACAGACAGGCAGACAGACAGAGACAGACAGACACACACACACACACCATTACCTAGGCTTATAACAAGGTACACGCTCAAAAAATATCTTTACGAAGGATTTTAGAGAGAGAGAGAGAGAGAGAGAGAGAGAGAGAGAGAGAGAGAGAGAGAGAGAGAGAGAGAGAGATTGTGTATGTGTGTGTGTGTGTGTGTGAGTAATATATCTCTCTTGTTAACTAGCTTCCTAACTTGTCTCGAGTCGACCAACAAGTAAATCTCGTGACCTCTGACCCCAATAAAGTCCTTAAGAGGGTCAACATCAAATGACTAGAGACACACATAAGTTCTGTGGGCGTGGTGAACAGGTCTATAGGCGTGGTGAACAGGTCTGTGGGCGTGGTGAACAGGTCTGCGGGCGTGGTGAACTAAGGAACAAGTCTGTTATGTTTTAAATCAATTGACCCTGAAGTGAAGGAGTGACGCTTTATTATTGGTTAGGTTTGGGGAGAGGAGGAGGACAGGAGGAGAGGAGGACAGGAGAAGGAAGAGGAGAGGAGGAGGACAGGAGAAGGAGGAGACGAGGAGGACAGGAGAAGGAGGAGGAGAAAAAGATAAAGATAAGAAGAGGAAGAAGAGAAAAAGAGGCGGATGAGAAGATAAACCCATCCCCCTATAGAAAACACACACACACACACACACACACACACACACACACACACACACACACGGACCTAAACTGACCCAAAATCACTTCAAAAACAAGTTAATAAGTGACCTTGACTTGACCCGGGACACGTATGGGAAATTAAATGACCTCGGCTGACCCAGATCCCCGACATACGAACATGAATGCCTCGGGTCACAGAATAAATGACCACAAACGCGCGAGTGACGTAATGAATGATGCAGTGTGAATGACGACAAGTGACCATTAATCTAGCTTATTGTGTTGACGAGACCCCATCTTAGCCTGACCCACCCATACAGCACGACCCACCCTCACAGCACGACCACCCACCCTCACAGCACGACGACCCACCCTCACAGCACAACGACCCACCCTAACATCACGACCCACCAACACGACGACCCACCCTCGACGACACGACCAACCCCACCCTCACAGCACGACGACCCACCTCACAGCACGACCACCCACCCTAACATCACGACGACCCACCCTAACAGCACAACGACCACCCTCACAGCAGCACGACCACCCACCCTCACAGCACGACGACACCCACAGCAGCACAACAACGACCCACCCTCACAGCACGACGACCCACCCTCACAGCACAACGACCCACCCTAACCTAATTTAACCCTGCCAGTAA